AAAAAAAAAAAAAAAAAAAAAATACTTCGAAGAAACAATAATTGAAATTTCACCAAATTTGATGAAAATTATAAACCTACACATCCAAGATGTTCAACAAATCCCAAGCACAAGAGACATGAAAAGTCCACCAAAGCGGCCAGTGCAGTGGCTCATGCCTACAATTCCGGCACTTTGGGAGGCGAAGGTGGATGAATCACCTGAGGTCAGGAGTTTGAGACTAGCCTGGCCAACACGGTGAAACCCTGTCTCTACTAAAAATACAAAAATTAGCTGGGCCTGGTGGCAGGTGCCTGTAATCCCAGTTACTTGGGAGGCTGAGGCGGGAGAATCGCTTGAACCCAGGAGGCGAAGGTTGCAGTGAACCAAGATCACTCCATTGCACTCCAACCTGGGTGACACAGTGAGACTCCGAAAAAGTCCACCTAAGTACATCATAAACCAAATTTCATAAAACAGATGCTAAAGAGAAAGTCTTAAAAGTATGGAGAGGAAAAAAGACACATTGTGTGTAGAGGAATCAGGATAAGGATGAGATTTCTTGTTGGAAACAATACAAGCAAGAAGATACTGTAGCAATATCTTTAAAGTGCTGTAAGAAAAAAATTCCCTCTAACCTGAGATTCTTTTTCCTTTTTTTAGACAGGGTCTCACTTTGTCACCTAGGCTGGAGTGCAGTGGCACAAAGATGGCTCACTGCAGCCTCAGCCTCTGGGCTCAAGTGATCCTCCTGCTTCAGCCGCCCAAGCCCCCAGATAGCTAGGATTACAGTCATGCGCCACCACACCCAGCTTTTTTTTTTTTTTTCTTGTATTTTTTTGTAGAGATGGAGTTTCACCATGTTGTGCAGGCTGTTCTCAAACTCCTGAGCTCAAGTGATCCGTTCACCTTTGCCTCCCAAAGTGCTGGGATTACAGCATGAGCCACTGTGCCCAGCCTTAACCTAAAATTCTACACTCATCAAAAATATATTTCAGAAATGAAGGCAATACCACGTCCATGAATGAGCATGAAAGAAATAAATGAAGGCAGCCAGGTGTTGTGGCTCACGTCTGTAATCCCAGCACTTTGGGAGGCCAAGGTGGGTAGATCACCTGAGGTCAGGAGTTTGAGACCAGCCTGGCCAACATGGCGAAACACTATCTCTACTAAAACTACAAAATTAGCTGGTATGGTGGCAAATGCCTGTAATCCCAGTTACTTGAGAGGCTGAGGCAGCAGAATTGCTTAAACCTGGGAGATGGAGGTTGCAGTGAGCCGAGACTGTACCCCTGCACAACAGAGTGAAACTCCATTTCAAAAAATAAAAAAATAAATTTTTAATGAAGACAAAACAGACTTCTGCTTCCTGGAAGACAGACAGACATATATTTCCCTATTCCTTCCACAAATAAAAACCCTGAACATTATAAATAAAGCAAACATAAGAAGATTCTAAGTGTTACAAAGAAGGCAGACAAGTTAGAGACTTAGAGCCAAGGATGAAATGGTGGTGTTTCCCTGGGTTGTTTTTTTGTTTGTTTGTTTCTTTTGTTTTGTTTTGTTTTTGAGACGGAGTCTTGCTCTTTTACCAGGCTGGAGTGCGGTGGCACAATCTCGGCCCACTGCAACCTCCGTCTCCCGGATTCAAGCGATTCCTCTGCCTCGGCCTCCCAAGTAGCTGGGACTACAAGCACGTGCCACCATGCCTAATTTTTTGTATTTTAGTAGAGACAGGGTTTCGCCGTGGCCAGGATGGTCTCGATCTCCTGACCTCAAGATCCGCTCAACTTGGCCTCCCAAAGTGCTGACATTACAGGCATGAGCCACCGCGCCCAGCAGGGTTTTTTGTTTTTTTATTCTTATTTATTTATTTTAGAAACAAGGTCTCATTCTGTCACCTAGGCTGGAGTGCAGGGACACAACCATAGCTCACGACAACTTTAAACTCCTAGGCTCAAGTGGTTCTCCCACCTCAGCCTCCTAAGCAGCTCAGACTACAAGTATGCACCAACTACCCAACTTATATTTTTAAAAAACTGACAGAGGAGCAGAAGATCAAACACCGCATGTTCTCACTCATAGGCGGGTGTTGAACGATGAGAGCACATGGACACAGGGAGGGAGCACTACACACTGGGGTCAGTTGGGGGGAAATAGGGGAGGGACGGTGGGGGGTGGGGAGCTGGGGAGGGATAGCAGGGGGAGAAATGCCAGATGTAGGTGATGGGGAGGAAGGCAGCAAATCACACTGCCACGTGTGTTCCTATGCAACAATTTTGCATGTTCTTCACATGTACCCCAAAACCTAAAATGCAATAAAATAAATAAATGCGAAAAAAAAAATTTTTTTTGTAGAGACAATTCTCACTATGTTGCCCAGGCTGATCTTATAACTCCCGGTCTCAAGAATCCTCCTGCCCCAGCCTCCCAAATCACTGGGATGACAGGCATGAACCACCGTGCCCAGCCTCCTGCGTTATCTTTTTGGCTCATTATCCCAGACTGTATAGAGAGGAGATGGACACCCAGAAGCACAATGAGTGCAGGCAAAAAATAAGTGCCAAGAAAAGCCTGTTCTGTCTAGCCAGAACATCAGGACAAATACAGACTAGCAAGACGAA